TCTAGAGCTCTTTGCTGGTGACAAACACTACTCATATACTGTTATAAAACTCTCATTTTTTAAAAAAAATGTAACACCATTTTCCTTTAAGGTTTACACTTCATTTATGCACATGATCTTTTAAAATTGTACACAGTTTATAACAGCTGATTTCCGCCATGATCACAGGGTGGGACTGTTTCCTCCTTAGGGAGGACCTGTTTAAGAGGGAGGGTGGCTATGATACAGGCACTGCAATACCTTTAATATAAAATATTTCTGACAGGAAAATGTGTCCCAAGTTAAAGATAACTTCTTTTTATCTTCTTTTCTTTTATTTAGAGCCCTCTATATTTAGATCCAGTCTTATACAACCGAGAAAATTATGTAAAGTTATATTGATTCACTCATCCTTATAAACTTGAGTACTCACCCTGCGCCAGACACTCAGCTCAGTAATGAGTCTACCTTAGAGTTCTGAATACGAAAATGCACCCAGGGTAAACCTTCTGAACCTGGTGGTTCCATGAATAGGGCGCCATATGGTTTTCTGCCTTAGTAATTTACAAGCTCTGGCCCTCGCCCTGCTAGTCTTACTACTAGTTTATTGTTGGCAGGGAATATGCAGAATCCTCTTTTCTCCAGGGCATAGTCTCCTGTTTCTCCACGTATGAAGCCAAGATCCTTACAAAGCCCCAGCTCATCATTTCACTGGGAGGAGGAATCCAAATAAAAACTGGTCAGTTAAGTCAACTTTTATTTAGGTATCAATATCGTAAGACATTACCATGCTACAGATTGAGAACACCAATACTAGGATAAATAGAACACTGAATACATAACTCTTTTAGAAATCACTAAGCATTTGATGATTTAAAAACAGATACAGGATGGGAAGAGGCAGCTCAACAGGCTTTATAAAAGGATAATAACAAGAAAAATATCATTTCAATTCAATATAGCAACCCAAGACTTCTTTTTCTGTCAATATTCAGAAAAAAAGTAAGATTTTTCTTTGCTATAACTTTTTAGTCACCAGTAAGAAAAAATATTTGCCTCCTGTCACCAATGAAATACAAGAACTATAATTGATGGAATGAAAATGTTTTTATTGGTAGTTCATTCCTCAATTATTTGAATTTTCCCATAAATTTTCAAAGTACAATTAGGAATGAGTCATTTATAAGAGCAAGGCAAGACAACAAATGAGAATTCTGAAGTTACAGTCTCACTTCCAGGCTTGTGTAGAAGAATATGCATCTCTTTTCAACTGTCCAATTAAAAAAAAATCAAGGAAAGAATTAGAACTACAGACTAAAAATAAAGTGCTAAGAGTCATCCCACATTTGCCTTATTGTAGGAACAGTGCTCCCTACCTCCTAAATGAAATCAGAATTCTTCTTGCCCATCTGTACATCAAAATAGCCATCTACTTTATTTTAAAATAAAATATCTTCCACCAACACTTGGCTTAATTGCTTTTTAACTGCCAAAATCAATACCACAGTTACGGTTTGGGAAACAAATTGGGTGTAATTATTACTAATACCTGAAAGCTGTGGTTTTTAGAATTACAATTTTTGTTTTGTTTTGTTTTGTTTTGTTTTTGTTGCTGTTCTCATTACCCAGGCTGCAGTGCAGTGGCAGGATCTCGGCTCACTGCAATCTCAACCTGTCGGGTTCAAGCGATTCTCCTGCCTCAGCCTCCCCAGCAGCTGGGATTACAGGCATCTGCCACCACGCCTGGCTAATTTTTTGTAGTTTTAGTAGAGATGGGGTTTCACCATGTTGCCCAGGCTGGTCTCAAACTCCTGACCTCAGGTGATCCACCCACCTCGGGCTCCCATAGTACTGGGATTACAGGTGTGAGCCACTGTGCCTGGCCTAGAATCACAATTTAAACTACCATTTCAGTTTTTGTTTGGGAAAAAAGGAAGTTTATCATTTTCCTGTTCTTCACTCAAAAGGATCCTGAAAAGTTAACTGTCCTCACAGTGAGGCCAGTGTGCTTACTGGATAGTACACAGGCCATGAATTCTCATGGCACCTGCTAGTCACTCAGTCTTCTATTGAGAAAGCCAGAATTCTGTAGGTGAAAAATCAGCCTATTTTCTGGAGATGAAGGAATAGACCAGAAATCGATGTCTGAGCCAAGAGCGGGGCAACAGGGACAGTCCAAATATGATGGTGATTAGCCAGTTTAAACTGATCTTTCCCTCCTTGGGGAGCTGTTTTTGCTATCTGGCGGCATATTTGCTCTATGGGTTATGGTGTTAAGTGTTATGGTAAGAAAGAAAAGCTGATGGAAGTTTCTTTCTCTACCAAAATATAAGAGGAACTGCTTGCCTTGGTGGAACTGCTGAGACTGGTAACTTTGTTGCAAGAGGGCCAGATGTGGTCTTCTTACTGGATCAGATTAATATAGCCAGGAAAACTTGCCATATAGCTAACACTTTGGCTAATGCATATTTCTGTTTCTATCTATTCAGATCATTAGATCGAATTCCTTTTCAGCCGGCAGGGAAAATTTTTAAATGTCATGGTCTGACTTCAAGGATCCCTTGACTCTTTAGCTCTATGCCATAATCTAAGCTGCAGGCATCCTGGACCATCTCACCTTCCCAAGGTCACATACTGGTCTCCTGTGTTGATGCGCATAATGCTAACCATTACTGGAGACCAGAAAATGGAAAGGATCCTACATCTTGGTAAGAAATGTTGCTTGACAGGACAGAAGATAAGCCTAGAATACAGTGCTGATTGCTTCAAAGTCCCTAGATGTTCTTAGGTCTAGAGCAGAGGTTGGCAACTTATGGCCTGAAGGCCAAATCCAACCCCTTAGCTGGTTTTGTAAATAGTCTTTTTTTGTTTGTTTTGAGACACAGTCTCACTCTGTCGCCCAGGCTGGAGTGCAGTGGCATGATCTCAGCTCACTGCAACCTTCACCTCCTGGGTTCAAGTGATTCTCCTGCCTCAGCCTCCCAAGTAGCTGAGATTACAGACATGCACTGTCATGTCCAGCTAATTATTTTGTATTTTTAGTAGAGATGGAATTTCACCATGTTGGCAAGGCTGGTCTCAAACTCCTGACCTCAGGTGATCCATCCACCTTGGACTCCCAAAGTGCAGGGATTACAGGCACAAGCCACTGCACTTGACCTGTAAATTAAGTCTTATTGGAACACAGCCATAACCATTCGCTTATGTATTGTTTATGGCTGCTTTCCTGCTACTGGGTCAGACTATGGATGGCATGCAAAGCTGAAAATACTTACTCTGGTCCTTTATAGAAAAGTTTGTGAAGCCCTGATCTACAGCACGTTGGTATAATCCCTTGAAAATGAAGGACAGCTTGCTGACCCCTAGCACCTCCTACATATTAGAGATGGCATATGGTTATTACACTTCTGGGTAAACCGCAAAGCTATCAGTTACAAGTAAAATCTAGAGTACGAGAAATCTTTCTGAGTGGGACAGGCTACAGTAGTATGGTTCAGCTGCCTGTGATCCTGGGGCATTAGGATGCTGCATATAGGTTGAGGTATGTCTCAATATAATCAGAGCATGCCCCAAATTCTGGAGCAAGGCCAGCCTCCTTTATGCAGGTATCATTCTTTCAGTAGACAATTCCCAGCTGGCCATGAGGTTCTGACAGATGGCAAATGTCTGACACCAAGGTAAACCAGGTGACCATGTCATTAACCCATCTTGAACAATTTTACCTGACCTGCCTAGCCACAAATACAGCATGTCTTCAACCAATAATGCAGCATGTAAATGTAAGACTGGGCTTACGGAGGTTCCAAAGGCACAAAATACCCAAATAGGCTAATGACAGTCCTTATCCAGTAGCCCTTCACTTAATTCACTACCTTTCTCCCTCACCCAGGACTATGCCTTCATGGAGGGGTGTCACTAATATATCAGCTAACAAATTTGAGAGGCCTGGACTTGGTTCACTTTTGATAGTAATAGCCAATAATGAGCTGCAAAAGCATTGTAGCTCCCCGTGTCAGGAACTGTTTTGAAGGACAATATGAAGGAAAGTGTTCTGACTTGACAGAATTCCAAGCAGTTAATTTTACTGTCCATTATACCTTTTAGGAGAAAAACCCTAAGGTCAGTTGTTTATCAAGTCTTGGGCAGTTGCTAATGGTTTATCCAGATGGATGTAGGCTTGAAATAATGCTCTGGTCTCATCAAGTATCTATTCAACCAAAAATGGGTTTGCAAAATGATGAAAAAGATCATTATGTGTTTGGATTCAGCACCACTTATGGATATCACTGTGCAAGTTTGGGGTGTTATCCTTTAGGATTGTGGTATTTGCTCTTCCCCAGCAATACATGTAGTACCAGAAAAATATGGTATTCTTTCTCCCACAGCCAAAACATACAGGTCTAAGACACAAGGAGTAGAAACGTGAGTGGACTCTCTCAAGGTTATAAGTAATGACCCACTGAAAAAAGTTTTATTCCTATCCCTATGACTCAAGCTCTCCTGACCCAGTTGGTCGGCATAATATGTAATGAAAAGTTCACTAAACTTGGTGATCATTTCTAGATGGTTCAAATAAAGGTCATTTAATCTTTTTTCTTTGTGGTTTTCTAGGGTTTCCAAATATTCTAGAATGACTATGTATTATTTCATATTAAAATTACTAAGGGGAAAAAACAAACAAAATATAGCCCCAGCAGATTTTCATTTAAAATGGGACATAAGGAAGAAATCGTAATGAATGCAAGGAGCTGCTGACAAAGAGAGGTGGGGAAGAACTAGTTTCCCTTTTTCTTTGACAGTGGTTACCATGTAACATTCCAGAACAATTAAGGAAACATTTGGAATCTAAGCCTGATTTCCTTATCTGTAAAATGATCTATGTATCTCCTAAGGTATGTGAAAGAACACCATAAACTATAATCTCTGAAGGTATGAGTTATTACCACTTGTGGTTGGTGAGTGTCTTATGTGTTCAGTGCTTTCAAAGACAACATCAAAAAACAAGAATAAAAATCAGTTACCTTTGGGTTAAAATATCTACAAGACTGTGGTTGAGAGCCTCCAAATAGGGCTATGCGGTAGTCATGTTTCTTTCTTCTGGGTCTTGTGCCATCTACGAGTTCTTCTCGGTCCTCTGGAGACAGTAGATGGTACCTCATTCCACCTGTAGTAAAATACATGGCAACTCTTCAAGAACTTCAGGCACTAACCAGTGCTTTGAAAAGGAAATACCAAGACATAACAGGGCCTTTATTTCAGTAACTTTCTTTTATCCTATCTTTATAGCATTTGAGGAAAGTGAGGGAGAAGAGGCAGGAGAAATGTATAAGGATCCGAGTACTAAGCAATTCATTATTCTCAGCAATCACCATTATTCTAAGACTGCCCCACCCAGCAAGCAACTTACTATGTACCAGTGAATTATCTGGCAACAGCTGTCAAAATAATATCCACATCTCCTAACCCAGTGGTTCTCGATCTTTACATTAGAATCACCTAGAAAATCTCTGAAACTATTTATACCTGGGACCTACCACAGACCAATTAAATAAAAATCTCTAGATAGAGTCTAGGAATTGGTATTTTAGAGGGCTTCTTAAATCTTGCCACTTAAAATGTAGTTCAAAGACCAGTGGCTTCAGCATTTGGGAGTTTGTTAGAAATGCTGAACCCCAGGCCATATCCCAGACCTACAGAATCAGCATCTGCATATTTAACACCCCACAGTAATTAGGATGTACATAACACTTTGAGAAGCACTGTCTTAGATGACTCTAAAATGCAATAAGGTCAGAACTACTGTGATCTATCACGATCCTTTTCCTTCGGCAATTCCTTAATTTTGTCAATGCCACTTAACAATCAAAAACTGTTAAAGTATCATTTCAAATCAGTGTGGGAAAGGAGGATTGTCTATGTTAGACAACAATATGAAGAAAGAAATTATACCCCTACCTCATATTTCACTCTCAATTCCAAATCAATAAAAATCTGAATATATAAACTCATAAATGCAGTAAAAGCTTGGAAAAAAAAAACAGGCCCAGAATGGAGAAGCCTAAGAATGACCAAAAATATAGGAGCCAGAAAAAAATGTTCACACTTAACTATATAAAACTTTAAGTTAAAATAGTGCACAGCAAAAAAAAAAAAAAAAAAGGCAGAATTAAAAGATGACAAACTAGAAAAATATTTATAAATAATAAAAAATACTATTAAAAGATACTTTATTAAGAATTACCAGCAACTTAACCAACAATTAGGTGAAGTATCTGAATATAGTTCACAGAAAAAGAACTATAACTCTTAAACATATGAAAAGATGCTTGAGTGCTCTAGTTAGAAAACAACAAATTAAAACCATACTTTTTTCACTTATCAGATTGGCCAAGATCAAACTGCCTGGATCACAGGGTATAAAATGGTTGTATCGGGGAGGCAGCACTCTCTTCCATTGATGGTGGGGATGGATGGGTATAACCATGGGAAGGGTGATATAGCCCAATCTACAAAAATTATAAATGTATATACCCTTTAATCCAGGAATTCCCCTTTCTAGGAGTTTATCAACTGTTAGCAAAATGGTTAAAAAATTATGCTATGCCTATACAATAGAACATTATATGTGGCTGTTAAGATGAGAAAGATTAGTATGTACACATGGAATGATCTCCAATAAATAATAAGGAATGAAAAAAGCAAGATGTAGGACAGTACACAGAGTGCAATACTGTTTGTGTTAAAAATGTATATTTTAATGTAAATATACAAATTTTATACATGTAATTTATACATGGATATATAAGTAAATGACTGTATGTACAGTCTCAAGACTACCTCTGGAAGGGTATATACAAGATAATAATGTTAATCTCCAGGGTAAGAGAATGAGAGAGTAGTGAAAAGGGATATCAGGGAGACTTACTTTTCACTATGTATCCTTTTAATATCTTTTGAACTGTACAATATTATTAATCTAAAGATAAAATAAGGCCATTTTATTTTATTTTTTTCTAGAGCCAGGGTCTTGCTCTGTCACTTGGGCCAGAGTGCAGTGGTGCCCTAACAACTCACTATAACCTCAAACTCTTAGGCTCAGCAGTCCTCTCACATCAGCCTCCCAAAGCACTGGGATTGCAGGCCTGAGCCAGCATGCCTGGCCCAAAAATTCCTGAGACATGCAAAACTTTTCTATAAATGAGGCTATGTTTTGGGTCTTTATTAAAAGGATAGAGAATGGAAACTCATTTGGAATAGTTGGTGAGTTAATGAACATCTTTATCAATATTTATCATTTCTTCCATTTCAGAGTTTGAGTAGAAGCTCTTTTGTATTCAAACAGCTGGATATTTCAGAGGCCAAGGCAAGCTGATGCATGCTGTAGGTCAGGGATCTGAAAACTTTTTCTGTAAAGGGACAAATAGACTTTGTAGGCCACATATGGTTTCTGTGGAATATTCTTTGTTTTATAATCCTTTACAATTGTAAAAACCACATTAGCTCAAGTCTGCATTTAGCCTGTGGGTAGTTCTTGAAGTGTGGTTCCATAACCACCAGCATCAGTATCATCTGGAAGTGTGTTGAAAATCCTAATTATTGAACACTAGCCCAGACCTTCTGAATCAGAAACGCTAGGGAGGGGTTTGAGAGCCACTGCTCTAGGATGGTTCCACACAGGTTGAAAGTGGACTGTGTAGTCTATGAACGCAAAATATTCCCAGTAAGAAAAAGGTTGGAGGGAAGGAGAGAGACAAGAGGGAACTGTTTCCACCAATAGGCCATGGGGTAAAAGTGGCTGACAGTGGCCAACTGTGCTGACACACTGGAGGAGGCATGCCTTTGGATCCTTCACTGATGGGCCTTTTTTTCCCTCCCCAAGAATAGGGCTGGGGGACACTTTGGTAACTTTCTCTGAGGAGCTCGTTGTTGCTTAGGCTTATTCCTTCGTGAGTTATTGTTTCCAGATTTAGGTATAATCATTTGGAAATTTTCAGGGAAGTTGGCCTGGCCCTTTGTGGTGGCTTTTACTGTGCACTTCATTTGTATTTTGTAATTTGTTTTCTTTTAGATGTAACTTTTTTAGCTTAGTTTTATTCTATTTTTCAATCGTCTTCTGTTTTTCTTCTACTCTGGAAAGGCAACAAAGTTAGGCGGTAGGAAGACAACTGATGATCTGAAAAAGAGAGGCTGGAAGGCTTTCCCCAATTTAGCTCTGCCCAGGCCCCAAAGCTTGGAAGCATCTCAGCTGCTTGTGCTTAGTCAAGGAGTAATAGAACAATCCACTATTATTTATTTTAAAAAAGGAAAAGAAAAAAAAAATGTAATAAGGCTAGTAAGTTAAACTAAACAACAAAGCATCCTGCTCAAGTGTCTACTCCTCACACTTGGTTGACTTTCTGAAATAATGCCACTATCCTGTTTCTTAATCAGTTCAGAATCCATGTAAGAACTAAACACTAGATTCTGAGACTGGCTGGTTGTTTTCAACAGCTCAGACCATGTATGAAGACATAGAAATTCTAAGGCCAGGAAAATAACACACAGTTTGGGAATTGGGCATAACAAAAAACCTGATACTAGCATGTACAAAATCTAAGAGATAAAGTCCTAATGTAAAGGCATCTTCTTGGTCCTGATTTTCTTTCCTCTCTGCATTTAAAGAGACAAGTGGCCACCTATGTTCTACCTTCTAAACACTCTTTTACACTATGGTTTTCCAAGACACCAGGCTTTGGTTCAAGTAGCTTTGGGGCTGCTCTTTTATTTTTTTTCATTTTCTTGTACCCCTTAAATATAGGTATTTGTAAGGATGTGTCCTTGACGCACACCTCTTCTCCTTTTCCCTTGACAACCTCAACTAGGTTCAAACACACTTAGTCTTTTTCAGTTTTGTTTTCATTTAATTAAAAAAATACGCCTTTGCCACTTATGAAAATTTTCATTATTAGATATTCATGTAAAATATTTTTAGTAACTATAGAACATTACATTGTATGGATATATTTTTTTCCAATCTAGGGACGACATTGGGTCTACTTACCTAAAACCACATCATACTAGTAAGCAGTAGCTATGTGATAAGTCTAATGAAAATACTGGAAACCTAGAAATTGTTTTTATTGGCTATGTGAGGCAGAGAAGATAAAGTCTTGGATCTGCTCAAGATAAGGAGTTGGAACTGAGATAAAGCTGGATCACTTGGATTGGTGGTTATACTTTTAGTGAAAGGATAGGCTAAGAAAAATATCTGCCCGATGGCAGAAGCAGCAGCAATAATTTTGTTTCAATTTCAGCTTCAGGTAAAGTGTCCCTCTTTTGAGAATTTATATTGACAGCCCTACCTTCATGCAGCTTTGAGGTTTGAATTTACCCCGCCTGCAAGTCTAGGAAACCATAAGCCAAAGAAAACTCAAAGTAGTCCTGGATTGTTGTGCCCTATAGAACTTGGCAAAAGCAAACACCATTCTCCTATTGAGGAGAAGAGAGAAGACATTCCAGAGAACAGAGAAGACACTACCTAAGCCTCCCAATATTCCTGGTGATTAAAGTCAATCAAATATAAGCATACCATTCAAAATTACAAAACATACAAGGAATTAAGCCACCAGAAATAAGTCAATAGAACCAACAAATAGCAGCATTGTTCTTCAGGGACTTCAGATACTGGCATTATGAAACATAGAACATAAAATAACATTTGAAAAGTTTAAGGTAAAGCAAGAACTGAAAACACAAGCAAGGAAAAAAGACCATAAAAAATGACCAGGGTAGGCCAGCCTTGGTGGCTCACAACTGTAATCCCAGCACTTTGGGAAGCAAAGGTGGGTGGATCTATTGAGGCCAGGAGTTTCAGACTAGCCTGACCAGCATGGCGAAACCCTGTCTCTGCTAAAAATACAAAAATTATCTGGGTGTGGTGGAGCACCTGTAATCCCAGCTACTTGGGAGGCTGAGGCATGAGAATCACTTGAACCCAGGAGGTGGAGGTTGCAGCAAGCCGAGATTATGCCCCTGCACTCCAGCCTGGAAGCCAGCGAGGCTCTGTCTCAAAAAAAAAAAAAAAAAAAAAAAGCCAGGCTAATAAATAATACATACATAAAAGGAAAAAGATACAATTTACAATGACAACAAAAGTATCTGAAATAAATTAAGAATGCAGAACTCATAAGAAAATTACAAATTCTCCAGAGACACATGGCAATTTAAATGAAGGATAACAATAATTAAAAGGTATTAGAATGAAGTAGAAGAGAAACTGTGTGTATGTGTACCTACACTACACTTGATCTTAGCCAAAAGACTGAGAAGTGATGTGTGTACATATAGATATATGGAAATTTAGTTTAACGGTTTCAAATCAGTGGGAAAAAACGAATTATTCAATAATGGTATTGAACCATCTTATCAGATATATTAGGAAAAATATTATTTATTTCACACCCAAATGATTTCAGTAAGATATACCCTTAAAATTTTTTTTAAAAAGAGAAGAAGAACTCTGTAAGTGATAAATGCACATGAGGAAAATTTAGTTAATTTTTAAAAATCACCTTGGAATAGGGAAGACCTTTCCAATCACATCACAAAGGAAAAGACTAGTTCAGTCTTAATATAAAAAACAACATGAGATCAGACTCGCCATTTTAAGATCTTTTTTCTCCTCTTCTCTCAAAAGCTATCCCAAACGACAAGGTAACAAGAAACAAACACAAACTCTATCTTTGATAATACTAAGAGACTTGCAACCCCAAAACACAATTAATGAAGACAGCTAGCAGATGGAGTGTCTGTTAAACCTAAATGGTTGTGCCAGGAGACACCAATGAAAAGCAAGCCAAATTACCCTGCAGAACCCTGAAAAGGCTCATAATTGGAGATACTAAGTGCCCAGAAGTGCAGGTAGGCATGAAAACAAGATAACTCTAAAATACTGAACAAACGACAATTGAACTTCCAGCTCTCCTTCCCCTGTTGCACAGTCAGGTACCCACTATACCTGTACCACTGTAGGACACAGGACTGGTCTCTGAAAATACTGAATGAGAAATGTTCCAGACTCAGGGAACAGCATAGAACAGGATGGGAGTCTGAAAACATGGATTAAGGCCAGGCACTGTGGTTCACGCCTATAATCCCAGCATCTTGGGAGGCCTCAGCAGGAGGGTTACTCGAGCCCAGAAGTTTGAGACCAGCCTGAACAAGATAGTGAGACATCATCTTGACAAAAATATATAAAAATCAGCTGGCATAGTGGTGTGCACCTGTAGTCCCAGCTACTTGGGAGGCTGAGGTGAAAGGATCACTTGTGCTGGGGAGGACAAGGCTGCAATGAGTTGTGATTTTACCACTGTACTCCAGCCTGGGAGACTCTGTCTCAAAAAAAAAAAAAAGAAAAATAAAAATATGGATTAAGTGAAAGTCTGAATAGCAAAATATTATCTCATCCAGTTCCTAAATGCCTACACCCAGCTTATAGTTCCCTGAGACAATATCTACAAATATTGACATCTGGGGGTCCCCAATTAAAAAACTGAACAGCTACTCTGATTATGCTACAGTTTAGCCCAAGAACTGAGATGCCCAATCATACATACAGCATGATCTATCAGTTTTGTAATAACTCACTCTCATATGATATAAAACCAAATATTTAAGAAAAGCTTCCAATAAAAAAAGGAAAAGAAAACTCAAAATATAGAAAATACAGACAACATAAGAAAACCTCAAAAGCACTACAAAGACTACTTTAGAGTGATAAGATATTGCAGCCATGAAATAATAGAGAATAAAAACTCCAGAAATTAAAAATTATAGCTGAAATAAAAGGGTTGAAAAAAATCAAGCTATCTCAGAAAAAGGCCAAGAGACAAAGATGGATAATAAAAAAGAAAGAAAGAAGAAAGAAAAGAAAGAGAGAAAGAAAGGGAAAGAAAGAAAAGGATCAGATTGGCACTAGACTTCTCAAAATAACATTGGAAGCTAGAAGATAAATTCTACCTGAAAATGATTTTCAGCATAATTCTATCTTCAGTTTAACTTCCTTCCTTCCTTCCTTCCTTCCTTCCTTCCTTCCTTCCTTCCTTCCTTCCTTCCTTCCTTCCTTCCTTCCTTCCTTCCTTCCCTCCCTCCCTCCCTCCCTCCCTCCCTCCCTCCCTCCCTTCTCTCTCTCTCTCTCTCTTTCTTTCTTTCTTTCTTTCTTTTTCTTTCTTCCTTTCTTCCTTCCTTTCTTTCGACAAGGTCTTACTCTGTTGCCCAGGCTGGAGTAATGCAGTGGCAGGATCAGAGCTCACTGTAACCTCAAACTTCTGGGCTCAAGCAATCCTCCTGCCTCAGCCACTGGAGTAGTTGGGACCACAGGCACATGCCTCCACGCCTGGCTACGTTGTTTTTTTTTTTTTTTTGTAGAGTTGGAATCTTGCTATGTTGCCCAGGTGAATCTCAAACTCCTGACCTCAAGCGATCTTCCTGTCTTGACCTCCCAAAGTGCTGTGATTAGAGGTGTGGCCTACTGTGCCCGGCCTCCTTCAATATTTTATGATAAAATAAAACATATGAGATTTGTCAAGTCTCCAAATATTTACTGATCATATACTCTATCAGGAACCTTTTAGAGGATATATTGCATCAAACAGAATTAAGATAGAGGACAGCCAGGATCCAAGAAGACAACAGATCTAACAGGAGAAGAGTGAAATGGCTTCCCAGGATTGTGGAGACGGAAGCCCCAGGACAAGAACCGTGTCTCAGGTCTAGAGAGCAAACAGTTCATATTGGAATAGGCAGAAGGAAGGTTCTACAAGGCATGTTTCCAAGAAAGAAAAGCAACAGATTGTTTAATTGCATAGACAATTTTATTAAGTGGCATTTTACAAAGGTGTTGAGGGGTTGGGACTTAGCCGGCAAGCAAGAAAATCGAAGCAAATGAAAACAATGTGGCAATTTTTATCTCTGGGCCAAAAAAGAAAAAAATATATATACTGTTGAAGAAAGAAAACGTGATCACAGTAAACTACTTGGCTAAGTAAAATAAAAAAGGAAACACTAGAAACAAAAGTGCATGAAAGTTATTGTATATAAGAATAGAAAAAGCATAAGTAATTTGTACTTTCTATGATATACACCCCTATAAAATAAGGGCTGAGGCCAAGTCCCTTCCAAGTGTACAGTTCAGAAACCCAAGGGATTAACTATCTAGAAGAGCAAAATCTTGACTCTTTCCCCCTGGCTACTGAGTCTAATCCATTCTAAAGGGTTTCAAGCCCATGAGAAACTGGCTACATGATCAGGTTACAAATGGATATTAAGGCAACTTACTTATCACCATCTTAAGGCATTCAGGATTGTCTTGAATAAGTGGTTCAGCTTGTACCGTTTTACTTAAGAAATTCTTTGATATAAGAGGAAACCTGACTTTAGCAAGGATATCAACCATAAATGGCTGGCGATTAGGTTCATCGTATTTCAACCACCTGACTGCAGCATCATAAACCTAAGGGGGAAAAACAGCACAGTAAAGTTCTTAGAAGACAGCAACATTTCCAATTACCTATGTTTACTCTCACATTGAAGGGAGAGAACCTCATAAGGAGACAACCACTTATTCCTAATATTTTTCATCTCTGGACACTTGCTGGTACTTCAGAACAGTTTACTTACTGCTCTAGTGAGTCTTGTAGGTAATATGTTTTTTAGAACTAACTACTATTATGTAATGTAATGACAGTGAGGATGTTGAATTTATGATTTAAAAAAAAAGATAGCTTCATTTTCAGACAAAGACATGATATACATTGCACTAAAAAAAAAAAAAAAAACTGCAGTCAACAAAAGTTTCAACATACCCTCATTTAGTTTAGTACCGGGAAAACAGGTTAATTTCTCAAGAGGCCGTCCATTCCAGGAGATATGAAGGTCACCCATGATTTTATTTCAATATTATATTCCTGCATTATGAATGGATAGACTTATCTGCTTTTTAGAAACTTTAAGATATGAAGAGTTCTATACTTAAAAATAAATTACAGGATATTTAAAAGAATTGTTTTCCAAAATAATACTGTTGCTGCACTTAACTGCACTGAACAAGTCCAAGTTCCTCAACATAATTTAACTTACAAATCATTAAACATCCCCCAAAACATCAATTGCTTCATATACACACACATCTCCCATACCCACTAAATTGATTTTGGGGTGATATTTGAAATTAATTTTGGAGTGATTTAATAAGGCCCAACTTCTGATCTCTTTCTGAGTTAATTTTTTATGGGAATTGGTGTTTTTTTAAACAAATTTTTTATTTTAGAATAGTTTTAGATTTATAGAAAAGTTGCAGAGATAGCACAAAGAGTTCTCATATACCCTGCCCCAGTTGTTAAGGTGTTGCATTAGTATGGTATATTTGTTACAACTAATGAACTAATATTGACACATTAACTAAATTTCATTTTTTTTTGGATTTCTTTAGTTTTTATCTAGTGTTATTTTTCTGTTCCACAATACTATAAAAGATACCACATTACATGTAGTCATTAAACCTTAGAATCTTCTAGACTGTGACAATTTTTCAGCCTTTTCTTGTTTTTGACAACCTTGACAGTTTTGAGTTCTGGTCAGGTATTTTGTTGAGAATGTCCTTCAATCTGGGTTTGTCTGATGTGTTACTTATTAGACTGAGGTTACGGTTTTTTAGGAGGATGATCATAGAGGTGAATGACATTTTCATTACATCAAGTGTGCATACTAATCATCATGACATCACTGATGATGCTAATGGTGACCACCTGTAGGTAATGCTCGTCACATTTCTCCAGTCTAACGTTACTTGTTATTCCTTTTCCATACTGCATATAAGTCAACCAATTTTGAACATGGAAGTAAATTTTTTCTATTTACCTAGTGAGGTCCTCCAGGTCTAACCTGTTAACTTGCAAATTGACACCCTGGGCCACGAAGAAGACTGGGCAAAAGAACATTGCTAAGTGCCAATTTTTGTTTTTAGAACAAAAGCAACTTAAAACATATGATCTTTTTTTTTTTTTTTTGAGACTGCATCTCGCTCTGTTGCCCAGGCTGGAATGCAGTGGCCCGATCTCAGCGCTCACTGCAAGCTCCACCTCCTGGGTTTACGCCATTCTCCTGCCTCAGCCCCCCGAGTAGCTGGGACTACAGGCGCCCGCCACTCGCCCGGCTAGTTTTTTGTATTTTTCAGTAGAGACGGGGTTTCATCGGGTTAGCCAGGATGGTCTCGATCTCCTGACCTCGTGATCCGCCCGTCTCGGCCTCTCAAAGTGCTGGGATTACAGGCTTAAGCCACCGCACCCGGCCTAAAACATATGATCTTATAGTACCTACATTAGTTTTCTATTGCTGCTGTAACAAATTACCACAAACTTAGTGGCTTAAAATACAGAGAAGCATGTGGGGCTGAAAACAGAGATTGAGTTTGCATATTAAAGTGTTCCCACAGCCAGGCATGGTGGCTGACACCTGTAATTCCAGCATTTTGGGAGGCTGAGGTGGGCAGGTCACCTGTTTGAGACCAACCTGGCCAACTTGGTGAAACTCCATCTCAATTAGCAGGGTGTGGTGGCACATGCCTATAATCCCAGCTACTTGGGAGGCTGAGGCATGAGAATCACTTGAACCCGGGAGGTAGAGATTGCAGTGAGCTGAGATCGCGCCACCGCACTCCAGCCTGGGCAACAGAGTGAGACTGCATCTCAAAAAAATAAATAAGGCTGGGTATGGTGGCTCACGCCTGTAATCCCAGCACTTTGGGAGGCCGAGGCGGGCAGATCACGAGGTCAGGAGATTGAGACCATCCTGGCTGACACGGTGAAACCCTGTCTCTACTAAAAAATACAAAAAATTAGCCAGGTTTGGTGGTAGATGCCTGTAGTCCCAACTACTTGGGAGGCTGAGGCAGAAGAATGGCGTGAACTTGGGAGGTGGAGCTTGCAGTGAGTTGAGTTCATGCCACTGCACTCCAGCCTGGCCAACAGAGCGAGACTCCATCTCAAAAAATAACATACAAACATACATACATACATACATACATACATACATACATACATGAAATAAAGTGTTCCCCCACCCAGCTCCCAAATGACTGCACCCAGCTTACACTTCTGACAGTTTATCTGATAATTCTATAGGTCAGAGTCCAAAATGGGTCACAGTGGACTAAAACCAATGTGTCTGCCTGGAGACGCTATAGAAGAAACCATTTCCTTGCCTTTTTCAGCATCTTGCAGCTGCCTGCATTCCTTGGCTTATGGTCCCCTTCCCCCTTCAAAGACAGCAACGACCAGTCAAGTCTTTCTTATATTGTACCACTTGACGCTGCCTTCTTTTGCATCCCTCTTCCAAATTTAAGGATCTTTATGATTACACTGGACCCATTTGGATAATTTCATCTCAAAATCCTTGACTTGGTCACATATGCAAAGTCCTATCTGCCACAAAGGTGTATTCCAGATGCTGGGGATTGGGAAGTGGACATCTTTGGGGAAGGCATTGTTCTGCCTACCATGGTACCCAATGGTTTTATCTCTATGAAGTGACCTATTTCTCAAACAGCCAGCCTGGCAAGCACCTAAGATTGCAATACTCTGTTTAGTGTAAAGAACATATTCTTTCCTAATATGACTCTTTCCCTTGTCATGTGTCCAAACATGAGTTATAAGAAACCAATAAAGACATTTTTATTAAGAAAAATGTGAGAAGGCAATTTAGTCACCTGATCCTCTGCTCTCACAGTCAGAGTGTCCTGGTTGAGAAGATGTGTTACTCGCTTGACATCAAGTTGAAGAAATTCATCAGTTTTGTAAACTTCAGTAAAATGCTGATGAATAAAGTCATCTGCAGTTGCTTTCAATTCAGGACAATCTAGACACTCTGCTAGCACACTTATACCTAAATACATAAAGAAAATAAAAGAATAGAAAATCATTTTTAGAAAAACCAAGTATACATTTAAGATGAAGCATGACTTCAGGAAAATCAGTTGAATAAATTTCATAAATCTGGATCCTTTTCTGTTTCATTGATTTGTCTATTCTTGTGCCAATACTATACTGTCTTATAAAAGACTGTTTTGTTTTTTTTTTTGAGACAGAGTCTCGCCCACCTGGAGTGCAGTGGCGTGATCTCGGCTCACTGCAAGCTCCACCTCCCAGGTTCATGCCATTCTCCAGCCTCAGCCTCCTGAGTAGCTGGGACTACAGGCACCCGACACCATGCCCGGCTAATTTTTTTTTGTATTTTTAGTAGAGATGGGGTTTCACCATGTTAGCCAGGATGGTCTCGATCTCCTGACCTCGTGATCTGCCTGCCTAGGCCTCCCAAAGTGCTGGGATTACAGGCGTGAGCCACAGTGCCCGGCTGGTTTTTATATTCTGTAGGAGAAGCCCCCTTCAATGTTTTTTCAAAGTTTTCTTGGCTATTGTTGGACATTTTCCCTTGCAGACAAATTTTAAAATAAGCTTATCACATTCTACTTTACAAAATCTCCATGTGATATAAATCAGAATTGCACTGAACTTTTGGATTACTTTGGGACAACTTCTGCAGCACGGAGGAGCTCCACTTAAAAACATGACATACATCAAATTTATTCAGGTATAAACTTTTATGTCAGGAGTCTGCAAAGTACTGTTTATGGGCAAAATCTAGCCCATAGCCTGTTTTGTAGGGTCAGCAGCTAATAATAGCTTTTACATTTTTTTGAAAGGTTAAAAAAAAAAAAAAAAGAGGAGGCGAGAAGGGGAAGTGAAGACGGAAAGGAAAGAAGAGATAAGGACCACATGTGGTCCATAAAGCCTAAAATATTTTCTCTTCTGGTCCTTTACAGGAAAAGTCGGCTCCCTCTTCTATATGAAACCACAAATTAATTAATTAATTAATTAATTAATTATTTATTTTGAGAGGGAGTCTCGCTCTGTCGCCCAGGCTGGAGTGCAGTGGTGTGATCTCAGCTCACTGCAAGCTCCGCCTCCTGGGTTCACGCCATTCTCTTGCCTCAGCCTCCTGAGCAGCTGGAACTACAGGCGCCCACCACCACGCCCGGCTAATTTTTTATGTATTTTTAGTAGAGACGGGGTTTCACCGTGTTAGCCAGGATGGTCTCGATCTCCTGACCTTGTGATCCGCCCTCCTCGGCCTCCCAAAGTGCTGGGATTACAGGCGTGAGCCACCGCGCCCGGCCGTTACTAGATTTCTTGACATTGAAATGATTGAACCATTGTGTCACTTTTAAAGTAAATTCTAGCTGGTCACAAAGTATTATTATTTTTAAAATAAATTTCATTTTTTCAGAGCAGTTTTAGGTTTACAGCAAAACTGAAGAAACATTACAGAGTTCCCATGTCCCTGTTGTCACCACGCATGCATAACCTTTCCCACTATCACCATTCCACACGAGGGGTATTCTTGAATTTTTTTTTTTTTAGCATCAATAAACGTTTTTAAATGAAACTAAAATGTTATATGTATTTGTACACATACATGTATACATACGCACACACTTTCTTCATCCAATGTTGGTATTATGGTAACCTTACCCTAGGAAAATGAACTGGCAAGTTTTCTACCCTTTCTAGAGATTTAGAAAAATTTAAATAACATAAGCATTAATCTTTTCTTTGAAAGGTTGATAGAATTAACCCACGAAGCCTTCAAGCCTGGAGCACTAATTAGAAATACATCTTCATGGTGGCTCATACCTGTAATCCCAGCACTTTGGGAGGCCTAGGCGGGTGGATCACTTGAGGTCAGGAGTTCGAGACCGGCCTGGCCAACACGGTGAAACCCCATCTCTACTACTAAAAATACAAAAATCAGCTTAGTGTGGTGGTGCTCATCTGTAATCCCAGCTACTCAGAAGGCTGAGGCAGGAGAATTGCTTGAACCCAGGTGGCAGAGGCTGCAGTGAGCTGAGATTGGGTCACTGCACTCCAATTGGGGTGACAAAGTGAGACTCTGTCTCAAAAAGAAAAAAGAAATACATCTTTACTTTTTTTATTGTTCCTGAGGTTACCAGCTTCAGGTTTTATAACTTTTTTCTTTCTTTTCTTTTTACAGGCTCATGCCTGTAATCCCAGCATTTTAGGAGTCACTGTGCCTGGCCCAAAATTGTCTTAAAAAGCATAAAATCTGTCCAGGCATGGTGGCTCATGCCTGTAATCCCAGCAATTTAGGAAAATGAGGCGGGCAGCTCACTTGAGGTCGGGAGTTCGAGACCAGCCTGGCCAACATGGTGAAACCCTATCTCTGCCCAAAATACAAAAATTAGCCGGGCATGCTGGTGGGTGCTTGTAATCCCAGCTACTCAGGAGGCTGAGGCAGGAGGATCACTTGAACCAGGGAGGCGAAGGTTGCAGTGAGACGAGATCACACCACTGCACTCCAGCCTGGGCAACAGAGTGAGACTATCAAAAAAAAAAAAAAAGAGACAATTTTGGTCACTGTCTTTTGCTTTCATATCTATAGTTCTAATTCCTGATGCTGTTCTTTGATCTTTTCTTCTTGATAAGACTTGTTAAGTCTGAGGCTATTTTGTACCGTATTTTGAAATACTTAGCTTTAGTTTTTCTGACTAAGTCTATAGTCTATTAGTTTTATTTCTCTACTTTATTACTTTATATTTTCTTTTCTTTTTTTGAGATGTAGTCTCACTCACTCTGTCACTTAGGCTGGAGTGCAATGGCGCAATCTTGGCTCACTGCAACCTCCCCCTCTGGAGTTCAAGTGATTCTCCTGCCTCAGCCTCCTGCATAGCTGGGAATACAGGCACAAACCACCATGCCTGGCTAATTTTTGTATTTTTAGTAGAGATGCGGTTTCACCATGTTGGCCAGACTGGTCTCGAACTCCTGACTTCAGGTGATCCACCCACCTCGGCCTCCCAAAGTGCTGGGATAACAGGCGTGAGACACTGCGCCTGGCCTAATTTATATTTTAAATCATATTTTTTTCTACTTTCATTAGGTGTTTACAAATTATTTTTCTCTACCTCTCTGAATAGGATACATAAGTCAAGAAAGAATAAAAATAAATACATTTATTTGGAAAAAATTTAAGACTACAAATTTTCTTCTAAGAAATACTTTGGTTATATTCTAAAGATTTCAGTTTATTGTGTGCTTATTGCCATGTTTCTATATAGCCTATAAGTTTACCTTTAATATCTCTAAAAAATAACTTTCTAAATAATTCTTTGGTTAAATTTTCAAGTGTTCAGAATGGGGCGGGAGAGAAGAGTTGTCCTTCTATAGTTAATTTCTATTTTTACTGCACTATAATCAGGGGATGTGGCCTGTGTCTCCTCTTTTTTAGGTGCTCCAGCTTTTCTGTGGCTGGTGATCAGTACTTGTAAATACTCCAAGGGTATCTGAAAACAATCTGTGTTCTCTGATGACTAAGTAAAACATTCTGTGTTATCTAGCTGAACAAGTTTGTATTATTCAAATCCTTATTCTTTCTAAAATCTGACTTGAGATTTCTGGGCAATGCTATGAGTTACTCACTAGCCATTCCATAAATTCTCTTTCTGTGTAAACCAGCAACATTTGGTTTATTTTGCTTGCAAGTAAGAAAGCTAACCAGTACATCTTTATCTTGAGCTCTTTATCTCTCTCACTTAGCTAGCTTTAGTACTTCTTCCAATACTTTTCTCAGAAGGGATACATGTGATTGTTTTCTTGCAATATCCAAATGAATGATGCCTTGAAATGCAATTTTCTCTCCCTCTCATTTGCAACCTTTGATATTATGTTCTAATTTTGCGTTGCAGATAAAAAATTAATGGCATTCTGATTCTCTTTCTTTTCTGAGTAACTTGTTATAAACACCAGCTGGGATAGTTCATCTCTGCCATATGGTCTCTAGCCTTCTTTTCATGACAGCAGAAGAGTTCCCAGCAACAATGGAGAGCAAATCCCAAAGCACAAGCATTTTTCTATCCTCTGCTAACATCCCCTTTGCTAATGTCCCACAGGCTATAGCAAATCACATGGTCACAGATTACGAGGCAGGAAAACAGACTCTATCTCTTGATGGGAGGAGCTATCAAGTGACATTGCAAAAGGGTGTACATAAATGGAAGGAAAGAATTTATGGTTATTTTTTGTAATATACTATACTGCTTCTCTTTGAAAGGCTGTAAATTTTTTAATATTGATATTTGTTCTTTTTTACTGTTTTAAGATCAACTTATTATTACACAGTCACTCATTCAGAAGCCAGGGAAACATCAGGGCAGCAGAAAGGAAGGTGGGATGGAGTAGGCTCTGTGAAGGACCAAAGACAAACTGCCACAGTTATGAAATTTTGTTTTATTCTAATAAAGACTAATGTATGCCTGATAGCCTAGTGATAATACATGTTTAGCAAGTCACAACATTTTTAGAAAGCATGTATCATTCAAATAAGGGCATTATATAGCTGGAGACTTCAACACCCCACTTTCAGCACTGGAAAGATCTTCCAGACAGAAAATCAACAAACAGCAGACTTAATCTGCACTATAGAACAAATGGATCTAACAGATATTTATAGAATATTTCATCTAAGAGCTATAGAATACATATCCTTTTCCTCAGCATGTGGATCATTCTCAAGGATAGACAATATGCTAGGTCACAAAACAAGTCTTAAAACATTAAAAAAAAAAACTTAATAGTATCAAGCATCTCCCCTGACCACAATGGAATAAAACTAGATATTAATAACAAGAGGAATTTTGGAAACCATACAAACACATGGAAATTATACAATATGCTCCTGAATGACCAGTGGATCACTGAAGACATTGAAAAGGAAACTGAAAAATTTCTTGAAACAAATGATAACAAATGATGATAATATCCCCTAACCTATGGGACACAGCAAAAGCAGTACTAAGAGGGAATTTATAG